CGCCGCTCGCTCCCCGGGCCCCCGGCCTTGCTGCCTGCTGCGGGGCGGGGCAGTCCAAGGCCTGGCTCGGCTCCCAGTGTAAATACCGCGTCTCCCTCCTCGGTTAAACTCCAGGGACTCGGAACTCAATGGGTTAACTGGACCCAATGAGGGGAAGGGGGACGGGGAGGAGCGCGCCCACCCCTGCCCGTGCAGCCTGGGGCCCCATTGTTAATACAATGTAGCAACTTCGCTGGCGCCGGCTGCCCCCTCCCTGTCCACTTTCGAAACTTGTTCTAAGGACAAAGTGGCTATGTGCAATGGATGTAAATGTACTGAGTCTCTTGGTTCAGTGTTAAGTTCACGTTCATTTGTTTATGAGTCTAAGTTATTTTTCTTTCTTCTCCTGGACCCGCTTCCCCTCCCGTTTTGTGTTCCCTTTTGGGGGGCTTTTTTGCTTTGTTTATTTTTGTTGTTGTAACCTCTTGTTGTAACAGCACTTTAAAAGGGCGACAACTGACTCACGAGATGATGACCACCTTGAGCCTGTTTGGGGGAGACCACCCTGTATCCGTGACTTTTGTTTTTAATAAAAGAAAAATCTGTTACTTTCTGGGATTGCCAGGTGGGAGTGTGGGAGGAGAGGGGAGGGACAAGAGGGCGGAGGGCGGCGCCACAGGTGGGGCGGGGACCACTTCCGGTCACCTGGTTAGAGCTGTGCTTGCTCAGGTGGACAGCAGTCAGCACCCACCCAAGTAGAAAGCCCCCAGCTTGGGGGCCACCCCCGCTCCACACCACCACACTCCCCGGGCCCCACTTGGGGAAAAGGGGATGATTGCCTGATCCACGGTACAGCAGCTGTCTCTTCCCTCAAGCTCTTGTAGGTGCCCACACCTGCCAGGGGACGTCATCGCTCAGGTACAGAAAGACAGCACCTGGGTTCACCCCTGCTGGCTGGCCCAGCCCAGAAGCCCTGGGGCAGGGTGCAGGGCAGACCTGGGTCCGCAGGCTTGGGAAGGAAGGGGGGACTTGAAGTTGGCTCCCGCCTGCCCTGCTGCTGAGGAAAGGCAGGAGCCCAGGCCGCAATACACCGCTCCCCGAATTCCAGTCTAAGCAGACTGGACATTGAGGAACTCAGAGCAGAAAGGGAGGTGCCCAGGGGCCACCGCGCTGGGTAGGGCTCCGCCAGGCCTCTGACGCCTGCCTGGGTCGTGGTTAGTGTGGCCTCTGCTTGTCGCAGGCCTCCATCGGCCTCTGTTTCCTGTGCACCTGCCCATCGGGCCACAGATAACAGGTGTAAATTGTAGAACACTTTCATTTTTTTTTTCTTGGTGGGGCACAAAAGATGGATGGAGTAGAAAGAACGGGTATTGGGTATTGGGCTGAATTTTACCTCCTCATCTGGCTAATCAGGCGTCCTGGCGCGCCTTTTATTTTATTTTTGGGGGGGGCCTCACTTTCAGCCTCTATAAAATGACTTTCTAGCCTTTGTCCGCGGAGTCCTGGAAGTGCGCTGGGAGGTAAACTGAGCCCAGGCCGCTGTAAGACCAGCACTCCTTCCGATGGCTCTGTTCCGGGACACCCTAAACTCTCTCTGGCAGGGATCCTGGAGGCAGGCACGAGCCCCATGGCGAGGAACATTGAGTGCACTGCCCGGGCTATGTGTTGGAGGGGTGTCAGGGCCTCCGACCAAGCCGGCAGGCAGGGGGCTGGCGTCTGGGGGCGAGCTCTGGCAGGGATCCTGGAGGCAGGCACGAGCCCCATGTCTCCCTGCGAGGAACATTGAGTGCACTGCCCGGGCTACGTGTTGGAGGGGTGTCAGGGCCTCCGACCAAGCCGGCAGGCAGGGGGCTGGCGTCTGGGGGCGCGCTCCAGAGGCGGGGAAGGGGCACACCCCCCCAGCCCCGCCGCACTGTGGCAGCCAGTCCCCGACCTCCCTGTGCTTGGGCTGTGGGACCTCAAGTCCCAAGGTATTTCTAGGGCTGAATCCAGCGAGGACACGAGGAAGTATTGGGATGAAGGCTCTGGTCACACTCAGGCGTCGCCTCGATGTCTCCCGGCCAGGACTCTGCAGGCCGGACCCACCAGATCAGTTCTCCGTGGCAGCCAAAAAATGACATCCGGACAGGAAGTGACTTGAGTCTCCAGGGCGCGCCAGAGGCGAGTGGAGCTGGGACACGTGGGGGTCGGAGGGTGCACCTCATTTCTTTACCCGACGGCATAAATGCACCCCTCGAAACCCCACCTTCAGTCTCTGTAAAATGGGCCAGTGGGGACCATCCAGGCTGGCAGTTGCTTCCGTGGCCGAGGCCCAGCAGAGGAGCCTACCACATACTCCTTTCGGCTGGTTCTCCCGCAAATTCCAGAGTGGAGAAAAGCACCAGACAGCTGGGGCCCGCCAGAAGGGGCGCCCCATCTGGGCCGGAACCTCTGCGGATTCGGGGTGTAGGCGGATCCGACCCACAAAGTAGAGTCGGAAAAAACCCTCGGGCTCCGCCCCCTTTCCGAAGTGTTTGTGCCCTCCCAAATGTTAATAACCAAAGGATTGGTATGGATGTAATTATCAATAATTATACGAATTATTGCTGATTGCGGGGCTCGTAGCTATTTTAATTAGTTTACCACATTCTAATTAAGTTAAATGAAACATTAATAGGGAAAATATGCTTTAGAAAAACACCCAGGATTTTAAGTGTTTCTCGCCACAACGTTGCCACCTTGCGACGGATTTGGGGCATTACAGCTAACGCCCGAAGGCTCTGGGGAGAAGGGCTCGGGATGTCCTGGGATGTTCTTTCGCTGCAACCCCCACAGGCCCCGGGGTGTCTGCATGAGATCTGGCTCTGAAGTCCAAGGTGTGTGGTAAGGGACTTGTTAAATGAGTCCTTTCCACTTGACACCACCTTTTCTCCAGAGCTCCAGAGTCCTTTTGGGATGGCCATGTGACAGAGTCCTGATCCCCACCTGTCTGGCAAATCCAGGGTGACAGACTGAGCAGGTTGGGGATGCACTTTGGGGACATCATGTTGCTTTTTTTTTTTACTTCCCTGTGAGAAACCACTAAGTGGCTTCCAATCTCCTTTTCCTCTGGCAATGTGAGTCACCTGTCCCCAGACCACCTAGAAGACTCCCCCAACTCAAGGCACGCATGGAACCCCTGTGTTCTAATGACACTTGATTCCAGAGACTAGCTTGGGTGTGTGGGCCTGATTCTCAAGGGACGGTGTCTTAACAACTAGAGGTCACACTTTGCCCTTCCTTGTGATATCTGACACAACCCCCAGCTGAAAGGGTTCCAGCTTGACCAGTTCATGTAGGTGCTGGAGATGTCTGCAGGAAGAAATCCCCAGGTGCTTCTGGACAACCACCACAGAGAAGCAATTAAGCTCATTTGCCTAAGGTTAATTAAGCACAAGCTTACAGCTCAGAAAGGTCCCTCGTCAATAGGATTAGTTTGAGAAGCAGGTGTCAAGTAAGTCACTGTCGACCTAGAATAGGAGGACATTCTTCCTCTTCCAGCCCTGTCCCAAAGAGGGAGCTCCCTCACATTTTGCAAGATCACTAGCCACATACCTGTCCACTCAATCCCTGTTAGCCCGCTATAGAGTGTAGCCTTGATGCTTTGCAGAAACACAACTCCTGCCTTGAATTCAGAACAAGGAAGGAAGGAAGGGAGGAAGATCTTCATGCTCTTTTCATTAATTTTAGGTAATCTATGGCCCTTCCCCATCCCAAAGGTAGCAAATGTTTAGTTAAAAGCACAAACTCTGGCCAGATTGACAGAGGTCTCAACTGCTGTGCACTAGTCTTGTGACATTGGCAAGTTGTGGAAACTCTCTGAACTTTGATTTCCTCACCTATACCAGGAGGAAAATAACAGCACACAGAACGCTTTGGGCATGTAATGCTGAGAACAGCAACTTGCGGTAATATATGAGTTTGATAAGATCACAGCTTCCTCTGAGTTCATTTTCCAGCCCTGAGATTCAAGAGTCCCTTCATGGATCCCAGTCTGTGACTCTCTACTTTGGGGACCAGGAAAGGGGACACAGCAGTACCTTGTCTGGGCCAGCCCCCTCGAACCCCTGGAGACACAGTGGTAAGAATCCACAGCACCCAGGTTGGAAAGGAATCACTCAGTGCCAGTGCTCTTGTTGACTCTGTGTCTCCAAAGCAGCAAAGGACTTGCCCAAGACCACTCAGCAAGTTAGAGAAGAGCCAGGAAATGCAGCCAAGTTTTTGAATTTTCCAGGACTAGAAATTGCCTGTGGATTACCTCATTCCCATTCCAAGAGAATACCGGTGCCAAGAAGAGTGATAAGTGTCTTCGTATCCATCAGAGCATGGACTTGGACCAAGTCGTTCATCTTTATTTTACCCCATAAGACCCCCTTCCAAAAGCATAGCCAATAACATTCCTGTCTCCTGCACTGCCCTTGCTGAAGGAGGGGGAGCCATATCAACATTGGTAGTTTCTTTGTTGAGCACCCAGAAAGGAGAGCTTTGAAACTACTTATCTGATTCTTTCCCCTAAAGAACCTGGCATTCTTAGGGGAAGAATAAAAAACCAGACACAGAGCTTGTCCTCCGCGAGCTTGGAGGAGGGCTCTGTTCTTGACTTTCACCTGTAAAGGATCATTTGTCCCGAACTGGGAACTGGACGCTGCCCGGCCACCAGGAGGTACCGCTGTCCTAGGGCGACTCCCGGACTCCGCCCCTGACACCTGCCCTGCTGCGGGGGCCGGCGCCTGGGAGCCCCCGTGCGCGCTCAGGCACAAGCAAGGAGGACGCAACACTCTTCTTCTTGGGAAGAAGCTGACATTTTAGACCACATTGGCAAAGTCATCACAGGAAATCTGAACTTTGCTGAGATTCCGCTCGGCCTTCATCTCAGGAATGACGTCTGTTTTGCTTTTGAATGACCCGGGATGAGGTCTCAGGCTCACTTTCAGTTACTTACTAGTTACATAGTGTTGCCCAGGTAGCTTGAAGTCTCAAAGTCCCCTGTAAAGCGGTGACAGTGATTCCCACAGAGCAGCGCGGCCCGGAGTACGAAAGTGACTTACCGGTGGCGCCCTGAGGCGTGGTAGACGCCGGGTAAGTGTCGGGCATTATTATCTAAGGACGGTCAATATCGTCTCGAGATCCTGTTACAGTACAGTCCATGTGCGTTGTTATGTGTATGTTTCAGACCTGAAATAGATCACCTTCAGCAAAATCATTTCCTATTTGTAAAGTGCCACAATACTCAAAGGAAGCACAAGCAAGATGGAAAAGATCTCAAACAGGCCAAAGGTCAGATGCAGAAGGTGCTGTAGAATAGAACCCGCTTGGGCCCCTTTTCTCTTTATTCCGTTATCCAGGGCTTAATTGTATCAATCAAAATCTCAAAACCTGTAGTCAATGTTTATAGTGGGATGCGAAAAATATGGAACGCTTCACGAATTTGCGTGTCATCCTTGCGCAGGGGCCATGCTAATCTTCTCTGTATCGTTCCAATTTTAGTATATGTGCTGCCGAAGCGAGCACAAATGTACGTTTTTCTCACACTGTATATAAAGCCAAAATTATGGAATCTTTTACAATTATGGTGGATGATCTTGTGACTTCTAATTTCAATCTACTCTATAAATTATGATGTTTCTGTGTCGAATACTTGTATTGTTTCTAGTATCTTTGTGCTTAAGTCTTAGATCTATTTTAAAATCTAACTTCTGGGCTCTGTATATGCAAATGAAGGGAGCATGGGAAATCGGCCCTCTTTCCGCCCGACCTCTGCGCGCGCCTCTTGGCCGGCGCCCGCAGTCACGCTCGGTCACGTGGCGAGCGCTGTGCGCTCGTTGGTTCCGCGCCTGCCCGCCCAGAGGCGGCTGTGTCCGCACTCGTCTCCGAGTGCAGCGCTTGTTGCGACGGCCCTGGCTGCCGGATTCTGGGAATCAGCAGTCTGCAAACTGCCAACAAGAAGAGTGTGGGTGTCCAGTTTGCACCCTAGACTTCCACGAGTGTGAGAGGCTGGAGCGGTCTGGACAAGGTCACAACCCTTTGACCTTGTGTATACTCCAGGCCAGGCGTTTACCTAATTGGTGCCGTTCTTGCAGGTTTGCACGTTAACAAACCTGGGCGCTGGGAGGTTAAACCATCACCCCCAAAAGACCCTGCTGGGGATGGAAGAAGTGACAATTTGATTGCAAGTTTGGTTTCAAAGACTGGCCTTTTCTTCTTCCTTATAGGACTCTGAAAAGATCGGGGATCCTGTGCGTCTTAGACCCGTTCCCCAGGCTTGGCTCATTTTCTTTCTTTCCTTCCTGCCTTCATTCCTTCCATGATTACCAAGCACCAGGGCACCAGGGGGGACTGAGTGGTTGGGGAGCTTCCATGCCAGCAGAGAGCCAAGCAGGCTTGAGAAAGGCTCCTAAATGCTGGGAGGAGCTGTAAAGGACGATGACCGGTGGAAGCCACTGTGGAGATACTTAGTCCTCTACACAGTGCTTTGGCTTAGTACTTGGAGAGGTGATGCCACCCAGCGAGTAGGGTAATGCCTGGACTGGCCTTTGGGGACTTAAGTTCCCCTTGCCTGACCTGTGCGCAGGTGCAAGCCTCCCACCTTCTCATCTAGACGAGCAGTAAGCAAATGCAAACTTCAGAATGCTAATGATGGCCTTTATTGAGCGAAAAGAGCTAATTTGGGCGATGATGTTTCCCTTAGATTTACGAAAGGGAATTGCAAATAACCAAAAAGCATATTAACATTGATGGGAGATAACGCTAATCTTCAATTAGCATCCACATTTTTATTCACTTATTTGGAAGGAGAGCCTTTTCGACACAGTCTGTGCGTACATGTGTCTCGGTGACAGGTACAGCTCATGGGTTCATAACTGCCTTATTGTGGAAACCAGCAGGAAACAGACCTGGTTATTGTTCACCATTTCTGGCTACACTATTTTGAGCCAGAGTGTTTTTTGTTTTTATCTTTTTAATCTGTTTGTTTTTTGTTGGGGAGCAGAAGAGAGCTCTGAGTTCCAGTCCCCATTCCTCCTGGCCCTGTCTTTGTGACCTTGACCCCTTGCCCTAGGCCTGTCTGAGCCTCAGCAGAGTAAAGAAACGGCCCTGGAGATGATCTTTAACATCTTTCAACCTTGACAAGCTGCGGTTCTTGTAACAGGAACTAAAGGCCTTTGGGGAGAATATAATTAGCAGGATGTAAAAATCCAGTACTGTATTCGTTTTCTGTTTTAGAAGGATAAAGTGTACTAGTCGTCCTTGAGGCGTTGGTGACCCAAGGAGCAGGCCACCGGTGCTGCTGTGGACCCAGGGCCTGCTGAAACATGGGCTTGCCTTGCCCTAAAGGCCCAAGGTTGGGGGCTGCTCTGGTCCCCCCCAGGTTTATGTCCTGGAATCTTGGTCTCCTGCTGGGCAGTGTTGAGGTGGGAGGAACATTAAGGGTGGGGTCTGGTGAGAGGTGATTAGATCCTAGGGGCTCCATCCTCATGAGGAGTTCATGTTTTTAGCATAAGACTGAATTGTCGCTCATGAGGAAATGGACTGGTTACCTTGAGAGTGCGTTGTTATAAAGCAAGTTTCACTGACACGCCGTCTTGCTTCCTCTTTCACTGTATCTGTCTGTCTCTCTCCCCCTCGCACACCCCTCCTCCATCCTTCTCATCACACCCACTATGAGATGCCACCGTCCATCTGGTAACACACCACATGTCCTCTCCAAAGGCCGAACAGATGGGAATACCTGTTTTGCCTCCAAAACTTCAAGCTAAATCTTTTTTCTTTATAAAGTTCCCCCTTGGGTATTTAGTTAGAGCATCAGACTAAGAGCGTAGATGTGGCATGAAGCTGGAGGAGATCAGGTAGCACGAGGGGTCCCAGTGACAGGAGAAGCAGGGGTATTGTGGCTTTCTAGGAACTCCTGGACCCCGCAGACCTCAAAGGGACAGGCACTGAACGTAGGTTCCAGAGAGACTGGCTGGCACTGGTTGGCAGCCGTGGAGCTGCAGTGGCAGCTTGGCTCCTGTGGGCTGTTGGAGCCTTTGGTTTCTCTCCACTCTGCAGACCTGAGGTGATCTGAGTCTGGTCAGCCTTCCCTGAGTGTCCTGGGCTTCTGAACCCCAAGAGATAAGATAGGGTGCCCTAGTCCTGTTGGAGGTGGGACTTGCCACCATCCTGAGTAGGAGAGGGCAGAGCCAGCTTTAATTTGATCTTGAAGAATGACAAAATGGGTTGTTTCATAAGGAAACTTGGCAATGAAGACATGAGATGTCGGGGTTCCCTAAAAATCACAGTGTTTTCCCCACAGTGTTTCTTACTGCATTCCTTTTGGAGGAGGAGGCCTGGAATCTCCAAGCACTCTACCAGGAGAGGAGGCAGCAGGTGAGCAAAGAGAAGCAGCCAGGGTCTTCTCCATGGACCTGAGGATGAATGGTGTTGGTGTCTCCCAGAGACATTACCTGGGATTGATGCACAGAATTCCCAGGCCTGATGGAGAAGCCCTGAAGTCTCCAGACCCAGACTATGGTGGCTGAAGAGGACCTGATTTGAGGAGGAACCAGCACCCTCAAAATCTCTTTGAGCAGCTGAATTAAGTTTTGTAATTTCTCTTTTGTAGTGCACTCTCCTACCTGATTCACCTCCTTGTGGATGAATTTTTCCCATGTGAGGCTGGGAGTAGGTGGGACAGGCAAAGAGGTCCGGTGTCAAGATTCGAGGGTGGTTTGAGGGAAGAGGCTGAGGGAGCCACGACCAGCTGTTCCCTCTGAGGATTCCCCTTCCAAGCTTGGAGGTCAGGTGCACCTGGAGCTGTGCTTTTTCGTGGCCCCTGCTGTGGGCAGACCAGTTCTAATGCATTCCGGTTTGGTCCTCAAATCCTGCCCCTTCCCCAGCATGGATTTGGAGGGTGGAGTGCTGCCCAAACCACACCTCTGCTGTCCCCAGATCTCAGATTTGTGCTCTGAACTTCCTGAGTAGCTGTTTCCCCTCCTGTAGGGTGTGACTCTGTTGCCTGCTTTGCTGTGTTGTTTGGAGGTGAGATGCAACATGGGATGCAAAAGGCCCTAGCACATTAGACGAGCTAAGTGTGTAAAGTGTTTAGTATTAAAGTCCCCGGGAATCCGGAAAGGACAAGATAGGTATAAAACCCCAATACATAACCACTTCCTTAATTTTGCAACTATGTGAATAGGACAGAGTTTTTAAGTGAGAACAGTGAGGTAGATTCTCCAGTTTGGGCTCCTTTTCTTGGCTTCTACAATGCCTGTTTTTACCTGATGACTTTAATCCTTTGGGTTTGAGTTACTGAGGGCCCAGATTAAACTGCAGGTGGTGACATTGCTGGGAAGGGACAGCACCAAGACTGCTGGCTCCTGTTACTCAGCTTGGTGTGATTCCCTGCCCTTTGAGACCAGCACAGGGTCCTCTGGGGTCCTGTTTCACTTGAGTGTCTTTGAGGAATAAAAGGCCAAGGTGGAGTCTCAGCCCTGTTTTGTTGAAGGGAGAGCCTAGGCTGAGAGAGTTTGGCTGACCTGCCGAGGACACAGCTAGTCCCTGAGGACTTGCTCCCTGTCCTGACTCTGGGGGCTGACTTCCACCCTGATGGGGTAAGAGAGTACCCTGCTAGGGCTTCTGGGACACCCCAAAGGACCTCTTGCTGTGGCCTTAAACCCTGTCATGGGTGTCTGGTCGCCCTTAAGGACCCATTGCTGTGGTCCACTTTCATGAGACCCTTTGCTCTGGCCAGCCCAGGGTGGGCGTGGATACCGAAGGGCTGGAGGTACCCAGGTTGGGATGGGGATGGTGCGCTTGGTCAGTGGGTGCATGAGAGGAATTGGCCAGCCTCTCTAACCTTGGCCAGTTCCCTTGACCTCTTGCCCTGGGTCTGTTTGAGCCTCAGCAAAGTGAGGAAACAGCCCTGGAGATGATCCTGAACATCTTTCAACCTTGACATGCTGTGGTCCTTGTAACTGGGGAACAGAAGGGCTTTTCTGTATGTGTAATTTTTTTTTTTTTTTGGTACCAGGGATCGAACTCAGGACCTTGAGCTTGTGAGGCAGGCGGCAGAACCACTGAGCTAAATCCCCAGCCCAGAAGGGCTTTTCTGGAGAATGTCATTAGAAGGATGTAGTCTCTAGTCCAAGCCTGCAGTGGTTTTCAGCCAAGAGACTACATACTTTGTTTTGGCTACTCTACTGACTCCCCGGCTCACTGGAAACAAGTGTCTTCTGGTTGCTGGGCCTCAGTTTCCCCATCTCTATAATGGAAGTGATGGTTTCCCTACTTGCTTTACAGGGCTGTGAGGCCCAATGAAAAAATCTCACCAGAAACTGCTACACAAGAAAAGACAGGAACGGAGCTATAACCAGACTCCCACTGCCGCCTCAGCCTAACGGTGACTCACTCCCCTCACCTGGTGAGCAAGCCACTTGTGTGTCAGGAACAGACCTGCCGAATCGAAGCACCAAGACGAACCATCGCATCGTATTAATATTTTCACACCACTTAACTCTCATTAAAATATACTTTGCTGAATTTAATATGTGATTTCAAATGACACAACATATTAAGTGCTTAATATACTAGAAATTATGAATCTATTATAGTTGATGCCATATGAAATAATTAGACTGAATTAAACTTTAGCAGCCAAGTGAAGGAAAGACTTCAACTTATAATGTTTTTAAAGTAGCTTAAGCCGTCACAGTAATTCCCAAAATAAATGTCCAGAAATTAGGATTTTTAAATAAAAACTTCAACTCGACAGTACTTACACCGGTTAGCTCTTGTGGGCTTTGGGAATGCGGAGCATGGTCGTCCTGTGTTGGTGGTGGCCCCGGGACTCCTCCCAGGGACCAGTATCGGTTCTGGGCTTCACCTGGCTCCGCCCCCGCAGCCTGGGGAGGGGACTCCGGTGGCCTGGAGTAAGCATCCTGCTGAGGTGACAGACCGGTTGTCCTTACCTCAGATCAGCCTGTTGACAAGCTGCACATAACAACGAACTGGCTCAGTTGGTATTTATTGCATGGGTCCTTTGTGCTTGCTGTTCTGTATGCATTTTCTCATTTACTCCTTGCACGCACGGCGTCTCTGGTATAAGCTGCCATTTTCAGATAAGGAAACTGAGTGTCGCTCAGAAAGTGTCAGTGAATCCTGCAGGGCCTTAAGTTGGAATCCATAGAGCGCACCCCACATAACCACCTCTGAGCTCTTCCTCACCCTGCTCATGTGTGCACTGCTTCTGGTTTTACCATTGATTCAGTGCCCAGGCACAGCCTGCCATCTAACGGTGCCAAAACATGTATTGTTATCACACTTCTGTCATGCGGGGGGAGAGACTGTGACATTATAGTTTCTCCTTGAGCAGGGCGTGCAGTCTGGCTGACCCAGGAAGTGCTCTGTGAGTACCTGCTGTTAATTCAAAAGAAGGTGTTCACTCTCTCCCGGTTTTTTTGTTTTGTTTTGTTTTGCTTTTTGGTACCTTGCACTTGGGAAGCAGGCGTGGTGCCACTGAGCTAAATCCCTGGCCCTCTCCCAAGTATTCTGACACATTCCTTGTGTCACTTCGGTAAACAGGACAGCCTCTCCTATTTCTGGTCATAAAGAACACTGATAGCTATGTAAGGCCCATGTCTCAGCTCTTCATACCAGTATGAATGCAGGTCCTGAGAGCTGCTTGAAAAATGTAAGTTGAACTATGGAGATTGAAATATATTGTCACTGCGCTCCAAAAGTGATCTTCATAGAGGCAGGAAAATTGAGCTCAAACATGTTTATAATGAACAGAAAACATGTTTTTTTTCCCAAAGTATCAGGATGAGGTCCTTGTCTCATATAATAGGAAGCCAAATGCAGTAACAGTGGCTCTTGATGATAGAAGTTTCTTCTCTGCGTGAGACAAGTCATCTTTCAAGGTCCTGTGTGTGTCCTTTTATTCCCTAGGACAGCTACTCATGGTCCCAGATGGCTGCAGAACCCCAGATTCCACCTGTCAGGAAAGATAAGATGAGGTCCTCTGAAGACCACCTGGATGCCACCCAGCATGCAGGTAGCACACAAGGTCCCCCTGAGGTCGGTATGGTGGCGTGTGCCTTGGGAGGCTGAGACAGGAGGATCACAGGTTTGAAGTTAGTCCCTCCAAAGCCAGTGTGTCCCTCAGTGGAGGCGTCCTGGGTTCATTTCCTAGCATGAGATAAATGCATAAATGTTCCTCTTAGCTATTGCCCGTCCTTCTGCAGAGCATCAAGGAGAGGAAAGGAAAGTAATATTCAGTGACTGTGTACAGGGTTTCAGGGCCCATGCTGAACTTAGTACAAATTATCTTCTTCAATCATCAGAATCCCATGAGGGCAGCCCACCAGCAGGTCAGGTGTGATGCTTTAGATCTAGAGCCCCCACAACCGTGCACTCATGGGCGGGGCTTGGTGAATCGGGTGATTGGATTATGGAAGTTTAGCGCTGACTTGCTGTTAGGAGGGATCTGGTTGGAAGAGGAGGTCATGGGGGTGTGGCCTGGGCTGGTTTATCACCCTCCCCAGCTCCTCCTCTAGCGGAAGGAATTGGCAAGTGACAAGCCCATAGAGACGAGCTGAATGGAAGTAAAATAATATAAAAAGTTTATTTTGTCTGCAAAGGGTTGATCGCATTCAAAGAGGCAGTGCCAGTGACTGACCTCCTATTGGGTTGCAGCTCCCTCTTTGATAGAGTTTTACAGCCATGACCTCATTCCGGTGGTTACATTTTATTCCTCAGTTCACATCACAGCCACAGATAGTTCACTTTAACCCAGACATAACAGTGCCTTGCAGTTGGGGAGTTTACCTTAAGATTCGCCTAGCTATCTATTCTAGTGCACAGGAAGCGGGTGTTCAAGGTCAGGGATGAGGACAGATGTCCCACTTCATGGTCAATGCCTCCGGCATCTGTTACTTTTGAACTAAATAAACAAAGATTGCTGTTAGAGGCAGCAGAAGTCATTTTACATTTTCCTAACATTTTGTAGGTTTTTAGATGATTCACAAAAGTTCTCTCTGTCACTTCCTACAAGCTCTACTTCCGGGACGCCAGGCCCTGAGCTGTGTCTCCTCTGTGATGACCCCATGCTTGGAGCCAGCTGACAGTGGACTGAAACCTCTGAAAACTGTGAGACAAAATAAACCCCTCCCTCTTCCTCTAAGCTGTGGGTGTTGGGTCCTGCGGCCCAGAGATGGGGACAGTGACTTTGGTATCAGGGCGTGCAGCGGTGAAGACGTGACACTGGGGAGCTGGAGGGAATCGGGGTGCTTGCATGAGATGCCCAGGCCTGCCAAGGAGAAGGGATGAGCCCTGCTCACCTTGCTCTGGAGATTTACGTGACTAAAATATTTCCTTGTGGATCCAATGGCCCTGACCAAGGTGCCGTGGCCGGAAGTGTTCGTTATGCCCTTTGAAAGACGCCGTGAGTCTGGAAATTGAAGAGATTAAAAACATGTTAAAGGTCCCTTCACACGCATGCTGTCAGAGACTTGACAGGAGCCCCAGACGGCTTCTGGGAAAAGGTGCTCAACCTCAGTAGTTCTCCGAGAAATTAAAAACAACATCACAGTTAACAAGAGGTCTGGTGAGGACGGAGAGTAGTGACTCACGGCTGCGGGGAGATGGAAGCAACGCTACGGAAAGCTTCCTGTTTTCTGAAATTGGAGAGAAGCATCGCTTTGTGGCTTTGTGTGCGGGGCCTACTCCATGGAGATGGAAATGCGTGAACTCCACCCTTGAAGTCCCAACCCCAGTAAAATGAGCTGATGGGGTGTAAAGATAAGGAAGAGGAGAGAAAGGGAGAAGGCGGGGGAAAGAGCCGGGAGAGGGAGAAATGAAGAGCAGGAACAGCTGGATGGCAGAGGGACTGAGGGCTGCGGGAGTTGGACTCCGGAGAAGCAGCCTTCGCTGTGGGTCCCAGGAGATTTCTGCTCTCTGGGAAGCCACTGCCTTTCTCTGAGCGTTGTTTCTTCATCTTTGGACTGGGGACAAATGCCCCTCGCTAAGTGTTACAGGGCTCCTGCTATTTTGAATTCAAGTCTCTGCTAAGGCGTCCCCCACTGTAGGAAGCCTTCCCTGTTCACCTCCAGACAAGAGCACCTCCCAGGCTGCCCACGATGAGTGTATTCTTTACCTGTCACAACCGTGCCGCACGAAGGGGAAAAAGAAGGGAAGTACTGACACATGGCCCAACCGGACGAACTTTGAAAACCCTGCTAGTGAGCCGCAAAGACTGCAGTGTCTAATAGGTGTGAGACTCTGAATAGACTGAAAACCACTGTATTGCAGAGCTTGGGAGGGTGAGTTTTCTGATTTGTGAATTACACCTCAGTGAAGCTGCTATTTAGCAAAGAATTAATGGGAGAAAGAAAATATCACCTTCTTTCATTCTTTCTCCTTGTGATTTTACTCCATAGTGCTTAGCAATAAATATTGAGAATACTTCAGATATGTGTGTGTGTGCGTGTGTGCATGAGGAGCAGGCTTTTTGATTTGTTTACCACTGTATAACTCGGGGCTAAAACTGCCTGGCACTCGGGAGATGTTCATAAACATTAGATAACTGATGCTTCTTGGTGCCTGGCCCCTGTAAGCGTTTGGTGGATGTTAGTGCTGGCCTCCTCCCATATTTCCTGCAGCAGCCCCCCCAGCTTGTTCCTGCTCCCTCCAACAGGGATGTGAAAAGGCCCACTATCCACCCGCTGGACCTTAGCAACAGCAGGGATCAGGGAACTCATAGGGTTCAGGGTCTGCCCGGCTGGATTCACCCATTCCGATGCCCCGCCCCACGCCGGGCCCCGCCCCACGGGGCCAAAGCGACCCATTTCTACCCCACCTCCCCAAGCCCTGCCAAGAATGCCCGCTCCTGGGTGAGCCTGGCTCTGACGAACAGCACTGGAGGCCTGAGAGGCATTTCCTCCTGCTAGAGGTCACCCTCTGGGCTCACAGCAAGCCCAATAACAAGCTGTCCCTTATTCCCTTGCCAGCCTCACTCCCTCTCCTGACCTTCCCGCCTGGACTTGCGTTCAGTTCCTGATATTAGGGCCTGACTTCCCTCACCTTTTCTCCCTATTCCCCAGACTAGGAGCTCTTCCCCAGGGCCAAGGGCCTGATCTTCATGTTGTCTTCCCAGTATGGAGCGCGGCATCTGCTGTTGAAAAGACAACTTTTAAAATAAAACTTCAGCCAGATGTCCTGATACACCTGTGATCCCAGCATGCTGGGAGGCTGAGGCAGGAGGATCGAAAGTTAGAGGCCAGTCTCAGCACTTTAGCACCTGAGACCCTATCTCCAAAAAGGAATAAAAATGACATCACATCAGACCAATCTTCTTTGAGATGCCATCTTCTAACTTAACAATTTAAAAGCTAATTGAAGGCAACCCACTTTCCGGTTCCCTGTCTCTCTTAGACAGAAGCTTTCTTTCTCTTTTTTTATTTCCCCTCATGGAGTTTATTGGTGCATCTTAGGTATACAGTACAGTTACATTCATCATTGGGGTCTTGTACCTTTACATGACAGATCTTGGTTCTCATTTTTTCCCCTTGCCCCTGCCCTTCCTTCACCTTTTCTTTCTCTTAATAAATTTTTCTTACTCTTAGGAAAAAAAAAGCTAATTGAGAGAGAAAAAGA